GACTTGTGATTCATTACGCGATTGGCAAACATTTACCAAACTTGCAATTCCTGGAATTCTGATGGTTTGCTCACAGTATTGGTCCTTTGAATTGGTTGCGCTTGCCGCTGGATACCTTGGAAGTATTACCTTAGCAAGTCACAGTATCGTGTTGACTAGTGCTTTGTTGCTGTATCAAGCGCCGTATGGTATCGCAGTTGCCACTTCAAATAGAGTTGGAAATTTATTGGGTGCAGGTTTGGCTTCGAAAGCTCGAGTCACGGCAAGGATGGCTATGTATTTAGCTGTATTGGTCGCTTTGATTAACTCCACGGTATTACTGATATTCAAAGACTCATGGGGGTTAGTATAACAGTTCGTTTTTCACCTTAAATTAGTTCTAAAGTTCTTTCTTATGCCTTTTAACTATTAGATATTTGTTTACTTCAGATGAAGGTAAGTAATCATTAATTGATTATCAAGCATAATGCACTCTAATATCACTAATTGCTTGATTAACAGTCGTAGTAGAAATGGTTGCAGGTCTTTTGCCACTATGTGCTGCCTTTCAAGTAAGTCTATTTAGCTTTTTTCACTAATACCCTAGCAACGGCGTAAAAAGTTTCTGTCACGTGATGACATTCCAGGATCATTGAAATATCCGATTATAATTAATTGTTAAATCAGGGTAAAGGATTCTATGTCGGGAGATACTAAAGCAATTGCCTGTAATACTTGCATGGCACAGAAGCAATTAAGTTATAAAATTGTCTTTTCGACATTTTTTAATGTTTCAAGCTAGATCTGTTTTCCATATTTTTTCCTCGCACCGGATTTTGTTTTGTCGGCTGATCAAAACTTTGCCGCATTCCTATTGGCTGCGCAAAATTTTTTGCGCATCCTTATTGGTCGAATATAATCGTAATCACGTGACAATAACTTTTTACGCCAAGGCTAGGGTACTAAATTTTTCACATAAAGCCGTTTCAACGAAAAAACATACATTTATAGATGTCTGAAGAATTGAATGCCATCGGAGTGGGAATATTATGCGGACAGGGTAGACAGCGAATTGGCGCGATATTCACAATGTCCGGCTATTACCTAATCGCCTTGGTATTAGGCTTAGTTTTGGAATTTAAATATGGCTGGGGAATTAAAGGCCTTTGGGCAGCTTTGACGTGTGCCTCGATTGTGATTGCTATCGCTGTTATTTGGGCAATTTTGGTTACTGATTGGCAGTGGGAGGTTGAACGGTGTAGGAGACGGATGAAAATTGCGGATCACAACGAAATTAGGGATGCTGTGTAATGATGAAGATGACCTGAGCCAAATTGAATTAATTGTTCTTATAACGATAATAATTTCGAGATTCACAAATATCATCGTTTTAGCCAATCTCAAACTGTTAATAGTGGTAATCAATAATAATGTAGGAATAGTTGATTATGATAGACCCATGTGGATTATAATTTGATTATAGTAATATTAGTAATATTGGTAAAAACAAGCGGAAAGTGACTATAAATAATCTTTGAAAACTCACGAACGTTTCAATCATTAATGGTTATAGAACGATATGAAAAAACTGAATTTCAATTAATAACTGAAATATTGAGATCCAATCAGGGAAACGTCTAGAGCGGAGGCAAATCACGTGAAAAATTTTATGATTATGATTGGTCAAGAGATATAAAGGTGATTAATATTACATAATGACAAGGGAATTATAAAACATTGTTTTTTGTTTTGGTTTTGTTTTGTTTTTGATTTTGGTTGTGATTTTAATTTTTTTGTAATGTAAGTTTTTTTTGTAATTTAATTAGTTTATTTTTTTATAAAGATTAAATAAAAATATTAATCTTTTTTTCTTAATGTTAAGAAAAAAAAATATTTTTTTGCTTTTTGATTTAGTTGTCATATTTACCATCTTTTTAGTTATTATCTTTACTATATCTTTGATTATTATTTCTGTTATATCTTCAGTTATTACTTCTACTATATCTTTAGTTATTATAGCTTCTTCAATATCAAAGCTCATACCAGATGAAAAATAATATTGTTACCATTTTAAGATTATGCATATATAATTATTTTAAAATAGTAATAATAACTATATTCATGGTAGTTATTTACTTTTATAGTCTCAAGAGATTATATGACTGATTATTCTTTCAATAAGGTGATATGTATAAGATTTACTTCTAACAAAATATGATTATCTTCTCAATAAGATAATTTATACGTATTTTACTTATAACAAAATATAATTATCTTCTCAATAAGATAATATACATAAATTTACTTCTAACAAAATACTCTCTTAATAGAGCAAGAAGAAAATAAGATAAGATATAAGATAAAATATGTGTGTT